ACAGACAATTTTATCTAAAGATGGGGATGGCATATTACCTTTCTTTCTAAAACAGGATTCTGTCATTTGCAAATGGAGACAGAAATTCTTACCTCTGCAAGTTGGTTTAGTACTCTGTCAAACAGAGAAGACTGTACAAACACAATGATTTTTCTCTTTATTATTTATGTCATTATTATTAGCAGTAGCAATAGTAGTGTTATCACAATGACCTCTCAAATAGGAAAATACATTAATATCCATTTCTTTCTCATTTACTGGACCCTGAATCTTTCTTCCCACATGACCTAGAAGGAAATCTGAGCCAGAGATTATCATGGTCTCACAGCTCGATTTTGCAACACAAGAACAGTGTTGTGCTTCCTTGGATACTTAAAGTATAATATTAGATATGAAAATAGCACAAGTGTTCATCCTATATAAATTTCAAACTATAAGCAGTAATACTTGGAGTTAAAATATATTATTTTTATCAGAAAAACAGAAAGAGTATACACCAGAATTTCCCAGAGGGTTCCTTTAACACTGTTTCTATGAATTATGAGCAAGATTTTCTCTTTCTAATAATTTGCTCTTACTTTATCCCTCTCTCCTTCCATGGCTTCTAGTCCCTTCCTCACTCTCCCCCATCCTTTGTTTTCTCTCAGTTACTTGTTCATGTATGTTTAGGTGCCAGACAACCTCCTAGGAACAGGAGTAGAAAGAAAACCAACAAATCAGACAAGCCCCATTCTTTCTCCAACTATATATGCTGGTATGGAAACTGACTTAAAAATATAAAGAGTCAATAGACAAGACAATTACTGATTTAGTTAAGCTCAAACAAGAAAATTAAACAGAATAAATGGCAAGTCTCTCTGTGGTCTGAAGCTGATACCTGAAATAAGATCAGAGAGATCGTTACGACCACAGTACATAATTCCATAAAGTGGGAATGTAATAAGCAAGGAGGAGCAGAATTTATTTGTTTCCAAGTTAGGAGTGCTGCTCATAGCATTCTTTTGAGGAATAAACAAGATAAATAAAGGATTTTTTTCCCTTTTTTGTTTATCGAAAATATTCTAGCCTCAAGGATTTGATGACAGTGGTCTATGAACTACCTTCTTCTCTGAAGATCATAAAGGTGGTGGCATTGCACAGCCTGGGAGGGAAAATTCACTGCCATCATATTGACCATTCTAGCTACTCTTGCTCCAGGTGAGATGCTTGCTGGAATAGCCAGAATCCTGGAGTAAATGGAATGGAGGAGAATGAGCCGACACAAGTGGTGATGTTCACTAGTATGGAGCCAGCATTTTATGATCCAATTATACTGTGTCACTTTCTGAACTTGCGAACTGACCGACCAAGTAGAGTCAATGTTTCAGGCATTCTTTCAGAACCATGTTGGTCTTATAGAAAGAGTCTTTGCTCATCTGTGAAAGTTTTTTATCTTTTATGGTACTAGAATTTTAAGTCTCTGGTCAAAATTAGTGAACGTTCTTAATAATTTTGAGGCACAGCATATATTTTTTTTTGAGAGAGAGAAAATTTTTTAATATTTATTTTTTAGTTTTCGGTGGACACAACATCTTTATTTTATTTTTATGTGATGCTGAGGATTGAACCCAGCGCCCTGTGCATGCCAGGCGAGAACACTATGGCTTGAGCCACATCTCCAGCCCCAAGCATATATTTCTTAAAAATAAAAGCACCTACTAAAGCCCCTGCTATCGGTTTGTTCACCAAACATCTGTTAACCCTGAATATTATGATTATTTTTTTAATATTACATTCATTTATTTGGTACGGTAAGAAGTTATTATCTCTTTTCTTTCAGTGTGCATGTTGGGTCAGCCAGAGGCCTGCGGCTTGGATTTCAAGAACTTGCCAAGGAGTGCAGTTAGCTGAGGAATTCAAGCCAAACTTTCTCTTGCCACACAATGACTGAGCATGGTGGGTGTGATAAAGCCTGGCCCCTTTTCTGCAGTGTAGGACTCCTAAGGGTCATCTTTGCTCCAAGGATCCCCATAGGTTTGGCCAAGATATTGTTTGGTCCACATTACCTTATCCTGCTTCTTCTTCGTCTTTCCTTGCTTGTATAGCCGATCTGCATCTGATATGAAGGACTTCTCTACACAGGCTTTTTTTCCTGCCTCCTTTATCTTTCTTAGACATAACTCCCCAGTAAGAATAAGCCACTTGTACTGCTAACTCTGTCTCAGCATCTATTTTCCATTGTACTTAAGCGATACACATCTTTTGGTCACCAGAAAGTGTATTAAATTCCATATGTTCAAAAAATTAAAAGTCCAAGTGTTCAATGCTCTCTGTCCATTTTTTTTCTATATTTTTCTAATAGAAAAAAAATTAAACAGTGTTCTCCATCTATTTCTGCATGGCTCTAATCCTCTCTCTCTCTCAACACACATATCAATACACACACACACACACACACATTCATACCAGTCTCAAAAAAAGACAAAGAAAGGAGGAGACTCATAGAACTAAACAATTTCCACTTTCATTTTCACACACTCAAATATAATTATTCAGGCGTTTACACAAACTCTTTACATTTCAACCATATATCTGTCTGTTTCAGCTATAGAATAAAGACTTACTCTTTGCTGATTGTCAGCTGCATTGAGACTGCTTTAGTTAAAAACTTCAAGCTCATTCACCCAACATATACAAAGCAACTACTATGTGAATTGTTCAAGTATCATTTCTCTCCATGACATTATATATGATAGTGTCAGAATAAATCTTCTAAAATATAAACCAGATATTTTATGGCTCTCATATTGGAAATCGTAAAGCTAAAATAATTGTGTGCTTAGATACACATAATGATGAGTAGAAATTTAAATATTAGATGAAACTGACAACATTTAATTAAACAAATGGATACACACACACACACACATATACACATAAAGATATACATCAATGAAGCCTAAAATTGCCCAAATCTTTTAACTTATAGGGAGGGGGCTTTAATTATCTACATCTCAGTGTAATTTATTCTTAAGATATAAATTATTTAAATGGCATTACCATGCTTCTTTTATTTATGTTGAAAGAAAAAATCTGTCTTTCAAAATGGATCATGAGATATTTGCAAGCTGAGACCAGCCTCTAATGTTTTTTTTTTCTTCCTATGTTTAATTCAGTGCCTGACACATAGTGAATGCTCAAAAGATATCTGCTGGATTAACATCTGTATTATACTCAGAACAGTGAACAAAAAGACTCAAGTGAACAATGGCCAAGAATGGAAGAAGAACACTATTCTATTCCACTTAGGTAATTAGCACAGTGCTTTCTTAAGAAGCCCCGTACTCAGTTACTAATAGGGCATTATGTAAAAATGTGGATGTGTAACCGATGTGATTCTGCAATCTGTATTTGGGGTAAAATTGGGAGTTCATAACCAACTTGAATCTAATGTATGAAATATGATATGTCAAGAGCTTTATAATGTTTTGAACAACCAATAAAAAAAATTAAAAAAAAAAAAAAGATTCAACAAAAAAAAAAAAAAAAAAAGAAGCCCCGTACCATAATTATTGACTATGAAAGGTGAAGTGAAGTTCAAAGACATCTGACAGTAGCTTTGAAATTAGGGACCTGGAGGCAATTCCTAAGTCTGCTCCTAACTCTGCCACTCTAACTTTGGCCAAGTAATAGGACATATGGAGACTTCCTTTTCCCTTAAGACTCAGGGCTGACTGCCTGCTCTGCCACTTCTCCAGGGTGATCCAGGGACCCAATGAAATAGAATTTATGACATGCTTCCTTCCTGGCTGAGGATGAATATATAATCACACCTGCAATTAATGCACTTTACAAGAGTGCCTTCCTGCTTCCAAATCTAAGTTCAATTTTAAGCCATGACCTACTTATGAATAAATGTACTTTTTTTTGTTTTACTTTTAAATGCATGAGGATTTTACTCCTTGACTTAAGAAAATAAAAAGCACACAGAAATTTTGAATTTTTAATTTAATTAAAAATTGACTTAATAGCAAGTCATGGAAATTTATCTCAATAATGCTAAAAATAAATAAATAATATATGTGCAGGTGTGTATACACATATGTTATATTAATTTTTTTCTATTTGGAAATTTGCAGACAAAATCACCAGATACAGAAGAAAAACACAAAAAAGATGCTGTTTTTAATACTTATTTTTAAAAGAACTTTTAAGAATAATTTTGTTCTTAATAATTTTAAAATGTGATACAACAAAATCCCACAGGATTTAAAAGTTATTCTCTTAATATATTATTAAATTAAAACAATTAGAAAAATACCTCTTCGAGTACAAAATCTACTGTTTTTATGACGTTATTTTCCAAAACATTTTTAAAATGAGAGTTGTTGTTTTTACTTTTATTTGCATTTGATTGTTTTTAGAATAATTTAATTCATGGTCTTTAAAAGTTGTACCACCAGACCTCAGAGTATTGGCTGGATTGAATACTGAACAGAAAATATCTTCATAAGAACTCTAAAGGATAGACATCAGTATTCTGTTTGACCAATGAGGACTCTAATGGCAAATGTAATACTATCTAACATGCATTGAATGATTTCCATATACCATATGCAGCATGTTGTATATTTATTGCTTTATCTGATATTCATTCTAACACTAGGAGGTAGGTTCCATGCCCATTTTATATATTTGTGAATTAAAACTTAAGAATTTACTTATCAAGCACAATACAGCTTATGCATGACTGAAATTATATTTACCCTCTTATTCCAGCAAGAAAAATCATTATCAGAACATCTTAGAAATAGGTGATAGTCTGCATAGGCTCTGCCATTTGTTTTCATCAGTATCAAAATGGTTGTAAAGGATACTCTGAGCCTCACAGTGCACATCCAAATAGTATGAATACAGGTGATGAAATACTTAGCCAGAACATTTCATAATCCAATCCCAAGAAAAATGTTTCCCTGAAGCATAAAACATGGTAAATAGAATTAAAAATGTAGGACACAAACCTGTTTCAGGCTCAATGGAGAAATAAGGCTGCCCTTCCAAGATACTATAAACCAGCTTTGCACTGTTTCCATAAACTGGGTCATCAGCATCCGTAGCTGTTACATTAGTGACAGACGTACCTAATAAAAAGGAGAAGAAAAAAAGTAATAATTAGCACTTTAATTCTTCGCCAAGAGCTAAATTTTGCCAAGCATATCATACAGAAATCCATGTTGGGAATAAAGAAGAAAGAAATCTCTTTTTAAAAAAATGGAGATAAACTGCTGGGTTCTAACTTCAACAACATCCAAGTCTTTTAAAAGAAATGGTACTGCTAGGCTGGAGTACTACATAAAGAAGGCCCTTTCAGTATCTGTATTATTTCAGATTTCTTTGTAGTTTTCATTTTAAAACTACCTATTAGATTCAAGTTGGCTTGGAGAATATGCAAAGGAATCATATCAAAGGAATTTGAAACATAAGGTTAATAATATAATATAGCCATGTAGCATTTAGGTTTTGCAAAAACACAACTGAAAGTACCTGGAAAAATTGGCTGCTGAAAAAGCTGTACAAAAATATCAAAGGAATATTTTATCCTATCGTATTTAATTCCTCAGACTATAAAATTAGATCGGAACTACCAATTAATCAGCATGCTTAGATAATTAGGCCTATGGATAATAGAATCAAAATCTTTTTCTTTTCCAGATTAATCTTCAACAATTCCACACATGTCTTGCCTGAACTGGAGTGTATATTTTAAGACAAAACCTCTATACTCAGGAAGCTTACAGTTTGGTGGTGGGAAGGAAAAGAAGGAAACAGATGAATTTAAGGAGAAATTGAGCTGAATGTCATAGTGTCAAGGAAGGAAACCTCACTTGGTCCAGCATAGACAGGGTGGTCAAAGACAGGTTGCTGAGAGAGAATGCATCTAAGTTAAATCATTAAAGGCATGTCAACTTTAACATAGGAGTATGGTAGGGAAGGAGCTCCCAACAATGTGTTAAGCACAGTAAAGGCAAAGTAGCGACCCTGGGCCATTTGGGGAATTTCTGAACCTTGGGATAACTTGGAGAAGTCTGGATTGATAACAGGAATCATGGCCTATATGCACAGGGCCAAAGCCTTCTGCACTTGTGTTACATACACACAGTAATTACTGAATACATATTTAGTAACTGAACAAAAGTGTGAGTGAATAAGGTATCTGATGACTTAAAGAATGGTAGATGTCACAGAGCAGTTTCTTGGAAAACTGATGCTCAGATTTCTTGCAGAATTTTTACTGGAGGGTGCTCTGCATCTATCTGTGTGGGGGCTGGGCAAGAGCACAAGAGTTGTGAGGCAGTGACAATACAGGTCTCAGTGGACTCCATGTTGGCTCTAGAAAGGGGCTGCCCATCAAGGAGATAAGACCCAGCCTTCACGCTGCAGCACTGAGGAGCCCTGAGGTATGAGCTGCCCCCTGAGCATGGAGAGCTGGCATGATCCAGGCCGTCATTTTGGAAGAGGACAACAGTGAATTGGTTGTAAGGATCTGATCATCAGCTAGGGCTGTGAATACTCCAAGCTCCCATGCACCTAGGGGAAGTGTTTTAATCCTGAAGGAGATGCAGTATGTATATGAGCAGAATACCTCAGTGATGTCCGAAAAAAGGGTAAGGTCTTGCAATATCTTGCCAATCTAAATCCTTTTGAGATGTCTGAATTGCAGTCTCTCTTCAAGATAATGTAACAATAATATTTGTTGAGAAGTCATTAATCTTATAAAATTGAAATTTCTACTTGGAATGATGATTTTGAGATTCTACAAAATCTACAATCAACAACAACAACAAAAAAATGCACTGAATACCTCTTGTGCAGCACACTCCACCTTACGCTGGAAAAATATATATCCACACCACACATGTGTGCACACACATACGAACACACAAGTGTTTAAATCAAGACTCATCGATCTTGCTAGTGAACTGAACATATAAAAGTACAATATTTGTTGTTATTTGAAAATTACATTGGTTGTGGAAGAATTGGAGGCAAAACCTTCCAGGTGAAAGATAACAAGGAAAAAGTGATAATAGGAACAATCAATTATCAAAGTTAAGGGTAAAGATTTGAGCTAAGGGAATATTTGAATGTCAGATTGGAGAACACCGGCTTCACCATTATGAAGCAGAGAAGATATTTCAGGTAAAGATAAGTCCTATGTTGGGGGTCACCCCTGCTCTTAGTGCTCCAAGATTTAATTGGAAATCAGAGAATATTAGGAGCACTGCTGGGAGGCACCTGTGATCCTCAAAATTTGGAAGACTGAGGCAGAAGGATTGCAAGTTTGAGGCCGGCTTCAGCAACTTAGTGAGACCCTATCTCAAAATAAAAAATAAAAAGGGATGGGAACATAGCTCAGTCATAAAATACCTGTGAATTCAATTCCCATTACCATAAATAAATAAATAAGAATAAAAAGTAAGACGGTCTGGCGATATACTCAGTGGTAAAGCACCCCTAGGTATAATCCCCCCTGCCAGTTTTTTTTTGTTTGTTTTTTTTCTTTTTTTAACTAGGAGAACAACTAATTACAATTTTACAGCAGAAGTCTACTTTAAGTAGTGATCAAACATTAACCCAGGGAAATTATGATAACAACAGATATCTGTGCTAATTCCCATGATTTGATCCTTGTACTAATATGTTACACTGAACATAAAGTGAGAGGTGCCTGGGTTTGAATGTGTTGCACCCAAAATTCAGGAGGTGCCAATGCGTTAGAATTGAGAGTGGAAGGCCTTTAAGAGGCAATTAGGACACCAGAGTTCTTTGCTTATAACTGGGGGAGTTCCTCTCTCTTGCCTGTCCACCTTCTGCATGTGAGGACATAGCATTTCTTCCCTCCAGAGGATGCAGCTAGAAGGTCCTCACCAAATACCAACACCTTGATCTTGAATCACCCATTGTCTCCAACTAAGATAAAATAAATTTCTGTCCTTCATAAGTTTACCCAGTCCCAGGTATTCTGTTATAGCACCAACAACTGGACTAAGAAGGGGTATACTGCAACTATATTTGCAACTTTTCTATAGGTCTAAAATTAATTTAAAAATATTAAAGAAAAAGAAGAAATAGAGACAAAAAGACTTATGAGAAAGGGGAAACTCTTCTGTGCAGAAGACCCTGGGATGAGTTCATTTTTCTTTGCTGTCTAATGTGTTGAAGTTAATTCTTTTTATGGCATTACTGGAGATTGTACCCAGGACTTCATACATGCTAGAAAAGAAATCTGTCACTAAGCTACATCCCAGTGCTTTTTAATTTATTTTGAGACACTGTCTTGCTAAGTTGTTGAAGCTGACATCTAACTTGTGATTCTCCGACCTTAACTTCCCAATTTGGTGGGATGTGGTGCTTTGATTTCTTAAAGAAAAAATTTAATTCTTCCATTATTAAAATAAGCTTAATACTTAATATGAGGTTAAGTTAATGAATCTAGGCATTCAGTTCTTGTCATTGCCTAAGCCCTGAAAAGAGAAATGAATGGTCAAAAATTTCTATCATGACCCAAATTGCTTTTTTAGTGATGACTCTTAAATGAGGAAGTATCTTCTTAGACAAATAAATAAATAAATAAATACATAATAAATCCAAATATTTTCTGAAGGATATCATCATGGTATAAATCTGCAGACAGGTGTGTTTTGGCAGAACAGTATAGAGTTAAGAGTTTTATATAAAAAATGGCCCAAACTTGTTCTGAAACACTAATCTTTATCTTTTTACCTGAGGCAGTCTCAGAATAAATTCTACAATATATATTTGTGTTATTATGAGAAGAATACAAAATAATATATGTTAGTGTCTTACAAAAATTATCACATGCTAAGCCTATGAGCAACAATTTCGCCTCTGGATGAGACTCTAGCTTTGGAAAATAGATCCCTAGGGCCCTTTTTCACAATAAGATGGAGACACTAGGAGAGTATTTTTAAAATCTTCTCAGGCAATTCCACTGTAAAGTCACCATTCAACACACATGTAGTAGGCATCCAACTTTAAATTTTGTTTTCACCTCTTCACCTTAGAGACATTAATTTCTAGCATGCATACTTTGGAAAAAAAATCTTTTATTCAGACTTGTTTGTAAAATGAAGTGTTTTTAAATCATTCACAATGCAGAAAAGACATGAAGACCTTTTCTGGTTAAATGGAAGATGAGAATACTTTCTAGGGAGTTTGCTATCGCAAGGCTGATGATAATCATTTAATCATTTCCATTTATTGCTTATTGTAATGTGATCATATCTTATCATGAGATATTACTAGCTCAGGAGTAAAGGGCCAGGTTTCTATCATTTAAATGCTCTGTAATTCAGTTTTTTCAATATGCAAAGATGATCATTATTATTCTGCAAACCTCAATCTTTTTTGTGAGGATCAAATGTGGTTATATGAGTTTATGGGAGAGGCTGAGAGAGTAAATTTGGAGTCAAACTATCTTGAATATTTGTTTCAGACTCCATCTCCAAATTTTACTAATTCTTTGTACTTGAACAAATAGCAAAACTTTTCTAATCCTTGGTTTCCTAATCTGTAAAAAGGAAGATGATAGTTTTTGTCACACCATAGACTTTTTGAGATAATTAGATGCAATTATTTAGGTAAAGAATTATTGATATGATGTTATTAAGAGCTCACTGTCATTCTTTTGATAAATACATTATATGTAAATATATGTAAAACTGAATAATAAACTGGTCTTTTAAATTCTAAGTGGTGGTAGATGTTTTAATGTATAATTGTCATTTTGCATAATAGTAATATATTTCCATAAATTTGAGAGGAAACCACAGGAAAAGGAACCTTATAACCATAACAATAAGAAGGTTAGATACAAGAAATAAGTTTTGGTGCTCTGTAGTACAGCAGGGTAATCATAATAATGCATTATTATCATTAATAATGATAAAAAACATAAGGTGATAAATATGTTAATCATCCTGAGTTGATTCTTTCCAAAGAGAAACATGAATCAAAAGTCACAATCTTACAATCCACCACAAAATATGTACAAATATTATATGTCAATGAAAAGTACTTTTTAAGAAAGTGATTTCCTTAGTAAAATTGCCCAACCAGA